TCATTTATCCTAAAAGGCATACCTTTTCCGTAAATTCATGCTAACACATGAGATGAGATATTTCCACGTTTCCACATAAATTCAAAACAAGGATCAGCTCAAGTTCTTTCACGACCAGGAAATTAAGTGGTAGGGAAATTAATCTAGGCATCTTCGGAACAATCTCTCTGTCTATCATGACAAATCATGAATACTTGGAGGTTGGGGCTCCCCACATTCAATTCGCTAATTCATGTAGTGGCAACAATTCACCTTGCTTCTTCACCTTTTCCATTTGAATGTATAACATGTGTATTGTCAGCAGTAGGACAGGCAATTACCTTCAAGTGTACATTCTACCACTGGGATCTCTCTCCAGTCTCCTGCAATTAGGCCTCCAACTCAGTGTCATGCAACTCTGCCAATGTCATCCAAGCTCCCAGTCATCCAGTCCTTACAACACCTTTGGTCAGGAACTCGACACTACATTTGACAAAGTGTTGATGCACACACTCCAAAAGGAATGCTATCGCCATTTCACAGACCACTAAACGTGCTTCAACTTCGCCGAAGGACGCAGTCCTGTCTGGATGGATAGATGGATGATTCTGTGGAGAGGCATCAAGGAAGAGCTGTTGAAAATGCATAAACATCCAGTAGTTACACCCATCTCTATATCAACTTCAGAAGCAGTAATGGTGTTAGACCGGACTTGAACAGGTGGAAATCATCTCTCCACATCCACTCACAGCATTCACCTGGAATCAACCATTTGTGATCTTGATCCAATGTCCCGATACTGCTCCACTAACCACGCAACTGCGGCTGACTCACACAGTCTGTTGAAATCACTCAACTAGCAACAAAGCAGAATGGAGAAATGCATGCAACATGCAGCATGCAGCATGATACACTTGGTTGCTGCTCCATGCAGTGTATTTCATCTAGTGTGAGTTCACTGCTGGACAACAAGTAACTTTGTGGAATGCGGTTGGCTAGCGGAATGTGTCTGGAGTGGAGCACCGACCAACCTTCAGCACCGCCAGTCATGTGAATCATCACGATGCATGCCGCAGTCACCGACATCGTTGACGCTCCAACTTTCCCTGAGGTGGTGGCAATTCATCACATGACATCCTCTTCTCTCTCACAAACACTTCCAACGATAGACGAGGTGAAGAAGCAGTCATGTTGACTAGCGGGAATGACCCTCTCAGGAAGAGGTGAATCATGGCAGGAGAACCGCTTGCCTCACTTGTGTAGGATGCTTCATAGGCCTGTTACGTGTCTCGTGATTGGAATTTCATCTTGTTTGCATGGTGGTCTGCTCGTGTCACGTGTCGCCACTTTCCAGTCAACCTAAACGTCGGGGTTGAAGCTAGTTCTGAGCTGAGGCAACTTGTAATTTACTCAAGAGATGATCTGGATGCCGCATGGGTGGTGGAGATGTCAAACTCACCG